CGCCGCAGAGTGGCCAGGCCGCCGGGACGCCGGGGCACCGTCCTTACATCACACGACGTGGATCCGTCCGCGCGTCCGCCCCAAGTGTCTGCCTGTCCGCGGGTTCCCCGAATCCACCCTCCCCTACAGCCGGGAGTGCGGTCCACCCCGCCGCCCGTCGAACCCTCCCGTCCTGGCTTTTCCTCCGCCAGGCCAGGCGCCTTGCCAGGCGCCCTTCCCGACGCACGATTCCGGCGCCGAGCGCGCGAGTCGGTGACACCTTGCCACCTTCACTTTCTGCGCTGGGCTGGCTGGGCGAGGGTCGGCGTCCGCCGTTCGTGCGTGCGCCGTGCCAGACCGTCGCGACGCTTTTGTTCTACACGTGGCGGCCGCCGGTTTCTCTGCCAGCGCGTGCGTGCGCTGCGAGTGTGTGAGTGCAGCAGTGTACCGCCCGGCGTGTATTTGGGTGCCCCCCCTCTTCTGACTCGGGGGCGGTGACCGGGCGCGTCGCTTGCGTCACATTCGCCGTCAGAGGGCACCGAGAGCCCCTGGCGGGCGGGCCGTCCCGTCGAGCAGGCGAGTGCTGCAGTGTTGCCTACCCCAGGCCGCGCAGGCGCTCCAAGCCCCTGGTGGGCGGGCTGTCCCGTCGAGCAGGCGAGTGCTGCAGTGTTGCCTACCCCAGGCCGCGCAGGCGCTCCAAGCCCCTGGCGGGCGGGCAGTCCCGTCGAGCAGGCGAGTGCTGCAGTGTTGCCTACCCCAGGCCGCGCAGGCGCTCCAAGCCCCTGGCGGGCGGGCAGTCCCGTCGAGCAGGCGAGTGCTGCAGTGTTGCCTACCCCAGGCCGCGCAGGCGCCAGGCAAGCGCGCTCCGCGGCCACCCGCTGGCGTCGCCCTCGGCGATGGCCGAGAGAAAGGTGGACTGGTCCGGTCCGCGAACCGCGGGGCCGAACGGCCGAACGGCCGAACCTGCAGTCAGGACCGGTCATTCAATTTATGCAATTGGCGAGCGGCGGGCGTGCGTTCCGTCGGGCTGCCAACGGCGTCTCCGTTTTGTTTGTTTTCACTCAATTGCTCGCGCAATATTTCGATCCTGGCGTCAAGACTGTCGGAAAGTTTAGACAGATGAATAGAGGGACGGACGGACGGACGGGTGGAGAGACAGGCAGACAGACACACGCATAGAGGCAGGAGTGTCGGCATACGCGCACTCATGACGCAGCGAAATGGAGAGGAAAATCTCTCTCGATCTGCTCGTCTCGGCATATCGACGGGAGAAAGCAAAACGCAGGCAGTAGTCTTCGTTATCATTGAATACCAGCAAAAAATTTTTTTTCAAAAGAGAAGGTATTTGTAAAATGTTTACATATTGGAAACATAAGAAGGAGCGTCCGTCCGGCTTCGCTGGCCGTGCTGGGAAAGGGGGACACAGACAGTGTGACGGCGCCGCGCGCGCAGCGTCCTCGCAGACTCTCCTCAAAGTTCAAGGGATAATCTGGCCATTTAGCGCCTGGCGCGAGAAGTAAGGCGTGCACCGCCAGAGAAAAACAACAAAGGGAGGCAACAACAACAACAAACTTGTCTGCAACACCTTTTCTCAGCAGCGTGCGCGCTGAAAACTCGAACGATCCACGCGTCAATGCATAACTGCTCGTTACGGCTTGGGGTCCAGCTCCGCAGTGGCTCCAGTGGCTCCAGGGCTCCAGTTCCCAGCCGAAAGCTTTCTCCAGAACACTGCCGGCTGGAATGTGTCGGCGGCCGTCGAAGCATTGATACCTGGCGTGCTAAGTGCCGGGCTGGGTGCGCGGGGTGCTGGGTCAGGGGTCCGAAGGGGGCCCATTCCGCACAGGGCTTTCTCGAAATGCCCGTTAGGACTGCGGCGCGCGGGGAGGAGCCCAGCAGGCCGACGTGCAAAGTCCACCCTTGCAATGGAAAAGTACTGCAAAATAATTGCACTCTGGCTGGCCGCGCCGGGCTGGCTGTGCCTGCCTGTCCGAGTGTCCGTCCTCGTCTTCGCTTCATCCCCTTCCCCGGTGCAAGGCCGGCTGTCGCAACGGATTCGACGCGCGTCCATCTCACTCTAGCGGCGCCCCGTCGGCCCGCGCTCCGCGACGGTGCTGGCGGTGGCACGACCACCGCGCCGATGGCGGACTTTATCTCGAGCGGGCCGCCCTGCGTGCCGCCGGCCGATTCGTCGAGCAGCCCTCGTAGGGATACGGCGACAGGGAAGGCCGTGGAGAGGGCCCTGCAAGCCCCGCCAGCCCCCGCGGTCCGAGGTTGCGTCGCCGGCGGCCGAGCTGGCGACGATCCCCGCGGCGCTGGTCCGGTCAAGTCGCCGTCGCCTCGGCGATGTCATCACGGCCTGCACGGCGGCACGCCGGCCTGGCGTGCTGGCGCGCGCTGGCGCCGGCCGGCGGAAAAAACACGCTTATTTTTTGGTGCAGCGGCAAGTCTGGGCAAGTCCGTGGCGCCCCGGCATTAGTGTTTGGTGGACGTAACCCGGCGCAGGGTTAGCGGGTCATGAAACGCGGCCGGGACGGCTGGACCTGGACCTGCCCAAGTGGAGCCGCACCATTACCATTAGAGTCCGTCAAATGCACCAAAGCCGCCCAAAGAGAGCGGCCGCCGCCATTTATCCCACCTGTCTGTCCGTCTGCCTGTCCGTCCGTCCGTCGTCCAGCCCACTGCAATCTTGCATGGAAATGCGCCGCGCGCAGCCAGTCTGCCTTTTTGTGTACCCTACTGGATCTCAGCGCCGTGATAAACGCCGATACGTGCGTGGGATTTTGTTATTTTGAATAACGCGCGAGTAAGTGCACCTACACACACGGACACACACACACACGCTCACGCAGCAAGTAGCGGGGAGGTCTACGCGCCATGATTTAAGACTGCACGCCGCCGCCCCCAAGCGGTCCGCCGCGCTCCGCAGCGCAGCGCGAATATATATTTCCCGGCGCCCTGCCCACGACGACGTGCTCACGACGACGTGCCCAAGAAGACGCACTGCATTGCGTCACCGCGGACGTACCGCGTCGCGACGCCTTGCTGCTCGGCGACGCGCCGCTCCACCGCAAAGTGGTCGCCGCCGACGCCGCCGACGCGGGCTGCTGCCTCGGCTGCTGCTTTCGGTCTTTCGGCTCGTTAACCGCATGACCCATGAACCGCAATAATAAGTCTACGCACTTTATCCCCAATCACGACACCCTTTTTTTGCGCGCGCCTGGGTGAAAATCTCAACCAGTGGCAGCTGCACAGCCGTGTTAAAATAACCGCCGGTGAAGTGGATAACGTAGCAGGCAGCGGCTCGCGAAAGCGCTGGTTCGACTCCCGTCGAGGGTAGACTCGTTTTGTAAGTTGCTGTTTTTTTCGTTATTATTTTTTTTTTAGGAAGGGTGTGGGATTATCGAGTAATCAACCATCAGGCGTACAGGGGAGGGAGTCTAGCAGTGCACCCCCAAGTGCAGCACCTGTAGCCTCGTGCAGGGCCGCCGCGCCGCCACACTCCAGCCTAGCCTCGCGGCACGCGCGGAGAAAGGGGCGAGGTGTGCGGCCTGCGGGGATGCGGGCGCTGCAGTAGTGCTCCCTCTGCCTGGCCCTGCCTGGCTCTGCCGCTGCTTTGCCCATCATTATTTCCGCTAGCTTTCTTGTTAGTGGCACGATACACGCGGCACGGCCGGCTCGGCCCACGGGGACACCGCACCACTCGGCACCTTCTTCGTCTCCGCGCGGTGGCGGTAGTTGTTGCTTCTTTTACGATTCCGGCGCCTTTTCGCTTTGCCCGGCTTCGCCTCCTCCCCCGCCCCGCGTACACTGCCTCGGCCAGGCGAGGAACGTCGTCGTCAGCGTCCCTCGAGGATGCGGTCATCGCAGCGTGAAAGGTTTTTAAAAGGATGACCAGTGACCACTTTGTTGGCGTCGGCCGCGTCGGCCACGCTGTGACGGGTAATTAACCCCACGGCTCGGCTCGGCTCGGTCCGGCTCGGCACGGTCCGGCTCGGCGCCACCTTCACCCTTCACTGCCTCGGATAAAGTGGCCTGCCCCCCATTGGTATGCGCGGCGTGCCGCGTGCCGCGTGCGCTCGGCGGCGACGTCCGCGACCATTTAGAAGGATTCGCGCGCGCCGGACCGCGCTGCGATGCTGCGGCTGTCCCTGCCCGGCATGAGCAATGCACGCGCTTCGACTCTCGGGCGGCAAAGCCGACGGCAAGCCGACGCCAGTCCTGCCAACCCCACTCATGACGCTTATTGCACTTCCCTGCTGGAACCTGAATGCGAACGTGAAAGTAAATTCCGGCGTGCGACCCGCAATTACCAGTGCCGTGCCGTGCCGGCCGCTGCGTGCGTGTCTCCTCGCCTCAGTGACCGGCGCCGAAACAAAACAAAAAGCGGTGGAGGAAGGGCAAGGGGCATTCCGGGAGCGGCGCCGCGGCGATCCATGACCACGGCCAAGGCCTGGCCACGGCCCCCAAGGCCCCCAAGGCCGCACTGCTCGAGGCTGCGCGTAAGTGCGAGTGTGTGACCGCGCGCCGTGTGTGTGTGTGTGTCGTCACACGAGTAGCGTGTTGTTGACCCCTCGTCCTAGGCGCCTGGAAAGTGAAGGAGCGTTACCCTGGCGCCGCGCCTCGCCGCGCCCACCGTCTTGGGTGATGCTGGCAGCGGTGGCAGTTGTCTCTGCAGAGACGCGCTGCTGTTTTCGGACTGACGTAACCAAACCGATGCCGATTGGTGGTGGTGGTGCGTTGAATCGTTTGATCGTCGAGTGCAGCCGAGTGCGGCATGCAAGGAAGGGCGGGGCCGGCGGGGCCCCTCCAGCCTTCCAGTGTGTGGCGAGTCCGGGCGAGTCGGTGTGTTCCCAAGGAAGCGCGCCCCATGCTGCTTTCCCACGGCACCTATCTGGGGTATCGGCCGTTGTCCGGGCCGCGCAGTGTGCAGCAGGGCCACCACCACGCATGAGTCGCGGGTTCGAATACCACTCGCTGAAAAAAAGAAAAGGTGTAGTTACAAGTGTTTTGTCTTGTTGCAGATGGCGCGACCGCCCAACAGAACGGGTACTTCGGCGTGCCGCTGGGCGAGCTGACGAGGCTGCACCACGGCGTCCGGGGCAATGTGTTCGCCGTGGACGCCAGGACCCTGCACATCAGGGACTTCCACTACGACGGCGAGGGTCCCGGTAAGCGGAGTGAACGCGGAGTGAACCGTCCGAGCGGCAGGCCGGGCAGGCCGACGTCTGCAGACGGTCGGGTCAGGATTGGTCAGGGAGATCAACACAATGGGCCTCGCCAGCCTCGCGCATAAGCGGCGAGCAGCCCCGATGAGGCTATGCAAACTCAGCGCGGCATCGCTCACTCAGGGAAGGGGGCGTCAAGGAGGCTGGGAAGCCGGCCAACCAAGACCAGCCTCGGTTCGGTTCCAGCATTACCGAGTCGTTTTCTAGGTTTTGCGCGTTGTTCACTTTAAGGGCGGATGAAAGAATCTTGGAATTTGCGTTTCGGAACTTTGTTCGATGGTCTCGCCCTCTCACGATTCCCCATGTTCCAGCCGCCTACTTCTACGCCGGCAACAGTAAGAACCCCGGCGCTCAGGGCTTCCGTATCAGAGACGAACGAGGCTCGTAAGTACTCGGTTGAAACATTTCCTTTTTAAATGACGAATAATGTGCGCAAGTGATGCATGTTGCCTTGCGCTTACAGTGCGTCCCCGTTGAAGCGGTACCGCGGCAAGCACATCACCATCACCCTCCCCGAGGGCAAGACGCTGCACCAGCTGCGCTGGTTCTCCATCTGGTGTGAGGAGTTCTCGGTGAGTTGGGAAGGCGGGTCGTAAATGTTGGCGCAGCGTGCCGCTTATTGTCCAGTGGAGTGGCCGCCTGCCTGGCCTGACACACTGTTTGACCTTTCGCAGGTCAACTTCGGCGACGTGCGCCTCAGCAAGAGTCTGGAGCTGCCCAAGCCCCACAAGATCGGCGCCCTGAGCGGCATCCACGGCGTGTCCTCCGACCCCGTGGTGGTGGTGGACGCCCAGACCCTGCTCGTGCCGTCCTTCTCGTACGACGGCGAAGCTCCAGGTCCGTACGCTGCTCAACATTTTGAATTTTGAATTGCCTCGTGACTGATTTTTGAAATTTGGCTGTGCAGACGCCAAGTTCTGGGTGGGCCGCGGCCCCAAGCCCTCGCCGCAGGGCATCCGCGTGGCGGACGAGAACGGCAAGGAGGTGCCGCTGCGCCGCTACGAGCAGAAGACCCTCGTGCTCACGCTGCCCGGCGACCTGACCGTGTTCGACATCGGCCACTTCGGAGTGTGGTGCGAGGCCTTCGCCGTGGACTTCGGCCACGTGCAGCTGCCCCGCTCCCTCAGCGTGCCGCCGTCGCTGCGCATGCTGGGCGTTCAGCCCCAGGTGAGTGCAGTGCAGCAGCGCATCCTTACAGTGTGGGGCTCCAACGTGAGCCCCAAGGGAGAGTCCGACTAGTCAACTGCGCGAGACCAGGGACCAGGGCGACCCGAACTCGAGGTTTCGGGACCGCGTCACCTCCCCGCTCGCGCCGCTGACGAGGTCCCCGATCTCCCAACACATCGCGAGCCCTAGGCGGCGACCTCGTCGTCGACCCCGCCATCCTGACGAAACTTGCAGTCCCAGCCCGCCGCCGTGCTTGTGGGTTAAGTGCGGTCCCTCCGGGTAGGGCCGAGGACCGCGACGAACGCGGTGCCGGCGCCGCGGGGCGCCTCCCGCGGAGTGTCGAGGCGCGACCCGCCATCGCCATCGCGGCGGCGTGACGCCGGCGTCGTTAGCCCGCTTGCTTGCGTTGCTTGCACGCGGCCCGCGCCGCCTTGCTCGCCGCGCCGCGCCGCGCCGCGCGGTGACGAGACCATTTTCTCACCAAATGTCGCTCGCGCCGCGCACCGCGCACCGCGCCAGGCAGAGGCGTGTCCTGGATGGCGCATTGTCGCAGACAATTGAGGCGGCTGGCGGGCTGGCTGGGGCTGCGCCCAGGCTGCGCCCTTCCCGCATGGGGCCCCGCCCGTCGCCTTGCCTCTGTGTCTCGCCTCGCCTCGCCTCGCCTCGCCCTGACCCACTGGGCCGCCGGGCCGTCTTCACGCTTCGCGTTGCCCAATCGGCGCACTCTTTCCTTCCCACGGCGTCCCCTGCACCATCCTGCACCTTGCATCCAGCCGCCAGTGCATGAGCTACATTGCGCCGCTGGACTTCCCTGCACTAACACACCGCTTGGAAATTGGAAACGCGACGTCGCCAGACGCTGAAGAAGCTTGCCCAGCCCTTTGCCGCTTGCCGCTCCTTCCACCGCCCTGCCCTGCAGCATGCCCCCCGGCCCCCCGCGCCGTGGCCCCGCCGCCGAAGCCCTCCCGTAGCCTGGGGGACCGCCAAGCGGTGCCAAGCGCGCCAAGCGGCCTCAAGCCATCCGGGACGACCAACAAGACCGCCTGGCCTGACCAGCCTGACGGACTGCGGGACCTCACTGGACACGACGCTGGAGAAGGGACGACGCCGCTCACAAGAAGACGACGAGGACACACGGACGATGAGCAGTCCGGCGCACACAGCGCGGCAGAAGAGGATTGGACACAGACGTGACCGCGGGGACCACGGGGACCGAAGGACAGAAGACAGACGGACAGCTCTGCAAGGTCAAGGTCAAGGCCAGGGCCAAGGCCGTCATCGCCGCCCCTAATCCGCCTGCCTATGTCTGTTGCAGAAGCAGCAGCGCTCGCTGCAGTCGCACCCCGCGTTCACGCAGGGTCTGTCCTCCCCCCCAGAGTCCGTGCTCTCGCTGTTCAACGCGGCGCAGAACGTGCGGCCCACCACCTACCGCCCCCACACCCACCGCCGCCAGCCCGCCCCCCTGCTCCCCTCCGGCCCCTCGGGCCCCTCGGGCCCCGCCCCTCAGGGCCCTCAGGGCCATGGCTTTGGCCAGAGCTTTGGCCAGAGCTTTGGCCACGGCCCGCAGCCGGCGTCCTCCAACCAGGACGAATCCGCCGTACAGATCCTGCCCTCCATCCCGCTGCTCAACTTCGACCAGCGCAGCTCGGGCCCGCCGCCCTTCCAGCAGCAGCCATTCCAACAGCAACCCTTCCAACAGCAGCCCTTCCAACAACAGCCCTTCCAGCAGCCCTTCCAACAGCCCTTCCAGCAGCAGGACTCGGGGCACAACCCGCAACAGCGGCAGCAGCTCGCCGCGCCGCCACTCCAGCCGAGCTTCCAGCAACAGCAGCCTTTCCAGCCAACGCACCGGCTGCAGCAGCTACACGAGCTGTCCGTCCAGCAACACCGGTTCCAGCTCCAGCAGCAGCAGCAGCAGCAGCAGCAGCAACAGCCCTTCCGACAGGCGAAGACGCTCCAGCCCGAACACACCCTCAAGATCCAGGCCCTCCAGCAGTCGCACCTTCTCCAGGTGCAGGAGCAGCAGCGGCAGCGGGAAGCTCAGGAACAGCAGCGCCAACGCCTTCAGGAGCAACAGTTCCAGGATCAGTCAAGGCAGCAACAGTTCCAGGACCAGCCAAAGCAGCAGCAGTTCCAGGACCAGCCTAGGCAGCAGCAGTTCCAGGACCAGCCAAGGCAGCAGCAGACGTTCTTCCAGGAACAGCAACGGCAGGACCTCCTGCGGCAACGGCAGCTCGAGGAAGAACGGCGCCAGGATCAGGAGCGGCTTCGAGATTTCCAGGGCCAGGACCAGGGCCGCCCTCAGGTCGGCGGCGTGGCGCTGCCCAACGCGTTCGCCGGCCTGGACATCCAGTCCATCCAGCCGTCCCAGGGCATCGAGCTTACCTCCCCGCAGCAGACGCAAAACTTCCTGAGCAGCTTCCGTCTCCAGCCAGGCGCGCTACCCAACGCGCCCCTGGAGCGGATCTCACCACCGTCCGAGCAGCTCCTGTTCAAGGACAACCGGGACCTGTACGCCATCAACAACCTGGCCGACTCCAACGTGGACGTCAACAACCTGGAGCGCGGCGGCCGGTCCGAACAGCAGCAGCCCTTCAACAACTTCAACAAGGAGGCGTTCCCGGCGCAGCAAGGGCTGCAGCAGGGCCAGAACTACTTCCAAAGGAACCAGGAGCACTTCCAGCAGCAGCAACCACAACAACAGCCCCAACAACAGCATTTCCAACAGCAACGCTTCCAGCAGCAACCCTTCCAGCAGCAACAACAGCCGTTTCAGCAACAATCGTTTCAGCAGCAGCCCTTCCAGCAGCATGCTTTCCAACAGCGACAACAACAACAACAAAACTTCCGGCAGGACCGGCCGTTCAACCAGTCACCCCCGTTCTCGCAGGACCCTCTGCGGCGGCTCGTCCAGCGTCAGATCCAGACGTTCGGGCCGCAGTCCCGCAGCCGGTTCCTGCTGCCGCACAGGGCGTCCCAGTCAGCACAGTCTGCCCAGTCTGGCCAGTCCCAGGCCTGAGCGCGGACAGCATGGACCTGGCATTGCGTCGCCACTCACTCAGAGAAGACCTCCCTCCTTTCTCGGTTCCATCCCTGCAACCGCCTGCAACGTCACACATTGCCGCGCGGAATGACGACTCGATCGTGGCCCACTGTTAAAATTAAATTGGCGAATCCCGGAAAGTGCGTTCTGAGGCTCCGTCGGAAATTTTCCAAGGCCTCGTTTTTTTAAGGTTTATGTTCTATATCTGCTGGAAACTCATACAAAATACATAGAAGCGTTGGAGGTTTTGGAATTTTCCAAAAATCAGGGGCATTTTTTTCCCTCCAAGTTCACCGGGAATTCCCAAGATTATTTTTAACAGTGCAAGTACCCGGTCGCGCCCGACCCGGCTCGGCCCGTCTAGTCCTGCTGCCCAAAGGCTACTTGCCGCACTGTCAGGCACTGGGGCCCGAAACCCCCACCGCCCTCGGCGCCAATCGGAATGGCTCTGGCTTTGGTTCGCGACAAAGACACGCTTCCAAGACACAAAGTGACGCTTCCCCCGACAGACTCCCCGTGTATATTGCTGTACAAAAGCTGACGTTTAGGTTACTAGGATTATTTATTGTCTTTGTTTGATTGCCTTAATTAGTTTTGCGTTGCTTTGAGTGTCTACATAGAACTCGTCCCACCACAATTTGTGTAGTCAAACTTTTAAATGATTTGGATTTTTGTTTTAAATATTAAATATGTAAGATGAATATAGAAATGTTGTAACTAATATGTGATAAAATAGAGGTAATATTATACAAAGCATCGAGGAAAAGTCATCTTAAAGAAATCATTCATTGTTTCTTCTCGCTATCATATTGTCCATTTTAATGTCATTATTTTGTACAGAATCACCTCCTTACCCATTCCTGTTTCATTTTCTATGTTTCGCATCATCAAGTTACCATTCCTAAGTTACCAAAGTGTCATAAAAATGTTCATCTCTCCTTATTGCCATCCCGGTAATTTATGCCCACCTTCATCAACAGTGTTACCAATAAATTGTATTATAGCTGCTGTGGCTTTAATTTAAATACACAGTTTTACTAAGAAATTTCCTCTTGAATTAACGTTTTGCTTTCATACCCCCTCGTCCTCCTGCATGCCCTTGGCAACACATCCCACACTGCTATGCCCTGTTTTAATTCCAAGTTGAATTCCCTTTTCAGTCCAAGCTCAACTGCGAAGTCCTCAACGACGACCTGGCTTACGAAGTCCGTTGGGCCGTGGCTGGTGACTCCGTCGTCCTGCAGCTCGTCGCCAAACTAGGTGAGGAAAATCGGCATAAAACGCAGAAAACATTTTGTTGCTGTTTTTTTATTTTATTTTGTATCGTTGAAATTATGTTGGTGTTTGATTGCCCCAGACGACAATGAGTACATGTCCTTCGGCCTCTCCGGCGAGCCCAACAAGAGCGCGATGGTGGGCGGCGATGTGGTGGTGGCCTGGGTGGACAAGAACACCCTCAAGGGCACCGCCGTGGACTACTACCTGGACGCCAAGTCGCAGTGCTCTGGCGCTCGCGGCTCCTGCCCGGACACCCGCATCAAGGCAAGGGCATCACGCGAACCGAACCGGAACAACTAGAGTGACGATGGTCCAGTTACAATAACACTGCTTTCCTATCTGCAGGACAACTCCAACAGCATCCGCCTGCTGAACGCCGCCCTGGTGAACGGCTACTCCATCGTGACGTACCAGCGCCCCCTCGCCGCCAGGGACGCCCTGGACAAGGCCGTGCTCACCAACGGCTCGCAGCCCGTCATCTGGGCCGTGGGGCCGCTCAACCAGCGCGGGGAGGTGTCCTACCACTCGCTCGCCAACAGAAGTGCGTACGGTGTAGCTGCCGAGTCGTCGTGTCGAGGCTAGGGTGGGGTTACCGATCTGTTCCATCGTTCCAGATGACATCTTCCTGGAGTTCGGCCGCTCCCCACGGTGGAACTGCCCCCTGCCTGACGGCGGCCACGGCGCCGGGGAAGACCAGGACCGCGAGCCGGCCCGCCCCGCGCAGACCACCGCCGTGACCACCCGGCCTCCCGCGACGCCCGCGCCGCACCCCAAGAAGGACGCGTGGGAGATCCCGCCCATCCAGTGCCACGAGCCCGAGGACGGCGTGTTCTACGCGCAGATGGGCCCCACGGGGGGCAAGCACGGCTACCCGGCCATCACGGGCCACGTGGGCTGGGGCATCTCGTGGTACATCAACGGCCTGCTCATCCCGGAGATCAACGTGGTGCGCGGCAAGACGTACACCTTCGTCGTGGAGGGCGGTCTGGACGCCGAGACGCCCGCCCGCTACCACCCCTTCTACATCACCGACGACCCCGTCGGCGGCTTCGAGCACAAGACGGCCGAGGAGCGAGCCGTGAGTACCCTGGGGAAGTCCGTCAGTGTACCCACGCGTCGGCGAGACTTCGCTTAACTTTTGCATGCTCTTTCCCGTTCCGCAGAGCGTCCGCATCTTCGCCGGCGCGGTGCAGGACAAGCGCGGCCACATCGTGCCCACCGGCACGGGCCGCCTGTGCAACTGGACGCCCGACCCCAACCAGCCCCTAGCGGACGAGTTCAGCTCCTTCGGCGCGTACCAGCGCACCCTCACGCTCGTCTGCGACGAGGGCGAGCCCGGCGTGGTGCAGTGGACCCCGGACCACAACACCCCCAACACCGTCTACTACCAGGTTTGATATTCAAGTAGTTCAGAAGAAGTAGGAAAGAACCAATTCCGCATGTGGGAATCGAACCCACTACCCTCCCGCGTGCAGCGGTGGGTTGACCACTCTGCAGTTTGTATTGGTTTAGGAGGAAAGGCATTTTACGAAAGAATAGAGTATGTAAAGACAGACGGCAGGAGAATAAAAGTAAGAGAAAAGAAACTGTTGCAGGCCAATATAATCTTACTCTGTGTTTGTGTGCCGCAGTGCTTCACCCACCGCTACCTCGGCTGGAAGATCAACGTGCTGGACAGCTGCGACAAGGGGTCGCAGGGCGCGGCCAGCGAGCAGGTGTCGACGCAGGTGGCGGCGCCGCTGCAGGTGCAGCAGGACCAGGACCTGGACGGCAAGGCCAGCATCCAGGTGGAGACGCGCGTGCCGGCGGCCGGCAACCGCGTGTCGGCGGCCAGCTCCCCGTTCGGCCAGGACATCAAGGGCCTCGACGGCCTCATCAGCGACGAGGACCGCGTCGTGCTGCTCAAGGGCATCGAGAAGTTCGCCGCGGTGCACGACAAGGACCCCTTCCCTTTCGACAGCAACAAGCTCCTCGCACAGGTGCGTGCTGCGAGCGCCGCCGCCGCCGGCCAGCAGCAGGATGAGAGCGAGGAGGGCGTGGAGGAGGAGGAAGGCGCCGACGGCGAGGCCAAGTAGCGCCAGGGCGCCAGGGCCCGCCAAGGCGGCGCCGTTTTATGCATCGCGAAATAAAGAGTTACCGCATTAGTTACCCATGTGAGCGCGGCACGGCTGAGGCAGGCACTGGGGATGGGTATGAGTCAGTCCTGCCAGCCGCGCTTTTTTTCAGAGGAAAGGTTCGTGAAAGCAAAAATAATGAATAGTTACCCGACCCACTTTGTATTAAAGATAGATTAAGCTCAAAGCAATTTTCTGAACGCACGCCGTCCTGTGATTATAGCGACGGCGGGTTCAAGTTGCCGTGACGCCAAGCCACACCTTGCCGCTTGCCGCTCCTAGTGTTAAGAGAATCACTGTACCGACGAGAAAAGCAGAGATGTGTCCCTGAACTGTATTCTATATGCTCAAGCAAAAAAAAAATTCAAAATTTGGTAAAGCCCGAAAGATAGAGTTGGTGGACCAAAGTAAACTTGACTCCCCTATTGAATTGTTTGTGAATTTGAGAGGCACCTCCAAGAAAAAACGAATTGTCCTAGCCAAGCCATAACATCCACCGATGCTGCTTTGACTTGTGAGCCGACGGTAGCGACGCCGAAATTGCCAGTGAATTGTCGGGCCGGGGGCAGGCCGTTGACGCAGAGCGTAGCAGAGCGGGGCTGTTGAAGCAACATCAGTCGATGACATGACTTCTGCTGTGAGACGAGCACTGGCACGGGTTGTTGCAGGTGCAGACCCAGTCCGAGGCTGCTGAAGCCGTGACCCTGCCAGAGGCCCTGACAGAGGCCCAGCTCGAGGCCGGTGTAGAGTCCGAGGCTCAAGCCGAGGCCGGGGCCGGAACCAGTGCGTCAGCAGGCCTGGCCACGACCCTCTACGACCACCTCAGAGAGGAGACGGCCAAGCAGGAGCCCCAGCCCCAGGGGCAGGGGCAGGGACCGTCCTCCAACCCCGCGCCCTCGCCCACAGACCTGGCCGCGACGCTGGCTCAGCATCTGCCGCACCTGCAGCAGCAACAGCTGGCCGGGCTGTTGGGCAGCGGGCACTCGTTCCCGCTGGGCCTCGGCGGCCTCGGCGGCCTCGGCCCGAGCATGATGCACCTCAAGTACATACCGCACCCCTCACTGCGCATGCCCGCCCCCGGCGCCCCCGGCCACATGGCGTACGTCGCCCGCGGCCCGCCCGCTCGGCCCCTGCTGTACACCAAGCACGGCCTGGCGCCACACCCCGGCCTGGCCAAGGCCCCGCACGCGCCGCACGGCATGATGCCCCTGTCCATGATGCACCCGCACCGCCACACCCTCCCCAGCCACTTGATGCGCCGCCCCGTGCCCTTGATGCTCGCGCAGCAGCAGCGGCAGCCTCTGGGCCAAGCCGGTCTGCTCGTGACCTCGCCCTCGCAGCACAACTACGTCATCAAGAAGAAGCCGCTGTTCCGCGTGCCCGCGGGCGTGGGCGTGGGCGTGCCGGCCGGCGTTCCCGCGGCCGTTGCCGGCGGCGTGCCGCTGCTGTCGTCCAGCACCCTGCGGCCGCTGTACATCCCCACCGGGCTGCAGGGGCTGCAAGGGCTGCACACGTCCACGCTGCGCCCCGCCATGCAGTCCACGCTGTCACTCCAGCAGCAGCTCTACGCCACCACCAAGCTGCAGAAGCTAGCGGCGGCGCTGTCCTCCACCACGACCACCACGACCACCACCACGACCCCCGCCCCCATCCCCGCACCAGTACACCACGCTTACCAAGGCCACCAGGGCCCGCTCCGCCACCACGCTGTACAGTCCTACCCCGCCCCCGCCTACTACCGGCCGCCCTCCGCCAACCCCTACCCGCCCGTGTCCCCCGCCTTCGAGCTGGACTCGTCACCGGAGCAGACGCCGTCCGCGTCCCTGGGCCCGCTCGCCATCAACACGGGCTTCAACCCCGGCTCCGTGGTGGTGGAGGGCGGCTTCAAGCCCATCCTGCAGCGCCGCCAGGACGAGGCGCAGGACCGCATGGCCTTCGTGGAGGGCGGTGACGACGAGGACGACCTGATGGAGGGCTCGGTGGTGGAGATGGAGCGCCGCAGCTCGGACGTGGCCGTCGAGGACGAGGAGGACGAGGACGCGGAGCAGAAGCAGCGCCGCACCGAGACCTTCGAGCCCATGTTCATCCCGTCGCCGCCCGACCGCAACAGCTTCAAGCCGGGTGCGTCCACCACCGCGAAGAAGGCCGTGGAGCCGGGCAAGACACTGAAGCAGGCCAAGTTGACGAAGGGCAAGCAGCCACGGCGAGACAAGCCGGCCCAGCTCACACCCATCATCGTGCGGCCCAGGCCCGCCATCCTGCGCCGCCCGCTCTACCCCAACATGGTGGTGCCGCCCTTCAAGATCCAGGCGCAGGCCCGACGCGGCCACCAGCAGCTCGACCCGCTCGATTCCGAGGACGACGACGACGAGGAAGGCATTGAGGAGGCGCCAGCCGCTAGTAAGGGATCAGCCGCACCGAAGCAGCTGCAACAGCAGCAGCGTGACGAGGACCTAGAAGAGGACGACGAAGAGGCGGAGGACGAGACTATGATGGCAGCCGAGCGAATGGACACCTACTATCTGCCGCCGTCCGCGCCCCAGCAGGGCCTCCCGCACACCATCGTCACCTACGACGGCAAGGCCGTGGACGCCGCCATCGCGGCCACCATCCCGAACCCTCCGCCAGACACGCTGCGGTCCCCCAGCAGCGCGGACCTGGTGCGTGCGCCGCAGTTCGGCCCGTTCCTGGGCGAGGCCCCGCCGCCAGTACCCGCCGCCCCGTCCCCCCTGGAGCTGCCGCAGCTGCAGCAAGTGCAGCCGGCGCCGCTGGCCAACTACCCACCGCTGCCACTGAGCGCTCCCGGCGACGACGGCCAGGGCGACGGCCAGGGCGACGGCCCCCTGGTATTGCTGCAGGGCCAGGACGGCCAGGACCCCCTGCAGACGGACGCCAGCAGCCAGCACCACGCGCAGCACGCGCAGCAGAGCAAGCGAGAACGTCGGTCGCCGAAACCACATCACGAACCCGGTCATGAGGGCCACGACGACGACGACAAGGCGGGAGTGGCGCCGAGCGGGGCCGCCAGCACCAGGTCGAACATCGCCACCACCCTCAGCATTCTGTGTGCCATTCTAGTGTCGGCCCTGAGATAGGGATAGGCTACTCCACGGGGCCCCGCCCCGCGCGATGCACAGGGGGTGGTGGCGCCGCCTCGTCCTCAACGAGTCCGCCACGAGAGGGCGAGGCGGCCGGCCCGGCCCCTTGCACCGTCCGTGGCTCCCCGCAATCTGGACTTGTAAATATGTGTTGCTGAGAGAGAGAGCTAAGTCTTCACTGAAGAATTTCCCAATGTGTTTGTGTGCTCTGTGGGGTTGAGATTGTAAATTTGATACATCTTGTAAATTCTAATGGGTATCAATGCAATTTTTGTAGGAACCTCCCAAGATGATGTAATGATAAGCACACAGCACAACTGTCATCCAGCACATAAGTTATTTCTTATTTATGAAACCATGTCATTGTAAATTGAAATGAGGCAGCTAATGTGTCAGGAATTCACAAGAATTAGATTTCAATGTTTTTTTAAGGAAGTAAAACAGATGATTTCTCTGTCGCGCGGTGGTTCAAAGGTATAAATGTGATATAGATAGAAGTTCAAAAAATCATGAGGTGTTATGTAATCTCGAAAGTAACAGATGACCACCTCTTGGAGGTACATATCAAAAGAAAGATTTTCAGGGAGTTCTGTAAGCACCTGCGAGTGTGGACAAACTTCTAGTACTGTACGGCTTTTTGTAAAATATGGTTGGAAGCTTTGAGAATAAACTTCAGATGTAAAACAGACAGAGCCATGTAATATTTTCTTTAATCCAAAAACATGCTACAAATATTGTTCAGAAACAAACTGAAAGCAAACTAGAAAACAACAAATGAATAAGAAGAATCTGCTGTTACCATTATTTTATAGCTTCTCAACAAAGCAAGCTTTGATATGAACATTTAACAGTTGTTAGAAACCATTTTAACTCTTACAGTACAAAAAAGAAGAAATTAAGAGGAAATCAATGTATTGCAACACATTTTCTATGCAAGAGATCAAATTAACAATTGCACAATTCCTGTGGGCAAAACCAACAGCTTGACATAATCAGCATTTAACAATTAGAATCTAAGTGTAAGTCTTTTAGATTTACATGATACAGCACTTGGCAGCATTATGATAGAATCATATCACACAAGTTCAATGGACTAATAAAGTTAATCATCTATATACCTAAATACATATTTTTTTGTTTTGTTTTTTAATTATTTTTTTTAATAAAAGAGAAAAAACAAAATTGGTAAGAAAGTATATCACAAATAAATAGTGGATCATGATCAAGACACACCAAGCAACATTTATCTTCCGTTGAGTATGTGAAAACAAAATTAATATTCCCAAAATTTTCTAAGTCCTGATTTGCGAAAAAAAAAAAAAAATTACGACAAAGTATTATTTTTAAAATTACATAGGAATTGTAAAAATTAACACAGCAGTATATTTTTCTTTTAAACAGAAATACAGACTTGATGGAGTGATGCCAGTTAAAGGTTTGGCTGATGCCAAACAATTTTGCCCTTCAGACAACCAGACACTAATAAACAATGAGTTGGTGAAAATTTGCTACTAACCACATAGTCTTCATGGCACATTCTCTCTGAAACTTCATACAACCTAGAAAAAAAAAGAACACACAACACACATCTTAAATAGATAGAATTCAAAGAGAAGCTGATGTAAATAAAAAGAAAATGTATCTTACCTAACAGGTGGATCAGTAGGTAAGGAGGTACTTATCTCCTGACAATCCGGAGTAAAGGATAACAATCGGATACCATAGCTGAAAGGTGAGCACATCACACGGCCATCCGATGAGAAGCACAGTTCCTTTATAAACCCTTTTCCAACATTGGGTTCTTCAATGTAATGCGACAGTCTTGGCATGTTTTGATGAATTTTGTGATTCCTACAAAATATATCAAACAGGGCAATATTTATCATTTAACATAGTCTTTAACACCAAGAAAACAGCTAATACAAAATAAAACTACTACATACCTTGGTATTTTGAGCTGCTGACTTTGATATGAATAAGAATTGGGAGATACTCGAAGATGAATGTTTTGAGCTCCTCCTTGATGAGGTGCGATCATTACTAATGTCCTAGTAGCTAGAATGAAATAAGAAAGAAATAGATGAGCCTTAGATGCCTAACATGAAGAAGAGCTCCAAAAAGTTTTTTAAACATTTAGATCACTCCAATCCAATATCAAGTGAAGACATTTTTAAGTACCTGGAGTAGGATTGCGTAAAAAGTGTCCAAGTGCAATAGCAGCTGGAGCTTGGCCTTGTCTGGTTGATTGTCTTGCTCTTGCTATCCTGAGCAGGCGAGGTCTATCAGGTCGTGCTGAACTGGCACCTGCCTCAGAGGGGCTGTTACCTGGTGCTGTTGAATTGGTTGTGGTTGCCTGAAAACAAGGAAACATAAATAATAAATTCTAGGGCCCTGCCAAACTGGTCTTAACAGAGTAGAGTTTTGAAAGAAAGGGTAGGAACTCACAGGATTGCTGTTATTAGTGGCAGAACTGCTGCTGCTGCTAGTGCTGCTGCCAGGAGTAATGGCCTGTTTGAAAACAATAATTAGTTTTGTTGAATTAACTCCAAGAGCAAGAATTGACAGTGTACAATATTTCCAAAAGTACCCACTTGTGATTGTTGCCTAGGCTCATTCAAATCATGAAGGCGCCTCAAAAATCTAGAGATGAGATCTCTTCGATCACGACCAGAGTTGAGATTCCGAGATGGAACCTGTTGACGCCGCGCCCTCGCCTCTCGGATCACGACCAATGCTTCCCACACATCCGCTGAAGCAACATGCAGCTCCATGTTTTGAGACAGAGGAATGTTCCCTTGTCCTCCTCGTGCCTGCCGAGCAGCTCCTACTGCTGCAGCTGCGTTGGCTGTTTCATTGGGACCCGCATTGGGACCCGCATTGGCACCTGGGTTGGCACCGGCATTGGCGTCTTCAAGGGCATCTTCATTGATGTCTTCATTGGCACTTGCGTTGGCATCTTCGTCAGCATCTGCATTGGAACTGGAAGCCCCTGGACGAGGCTCAGCTTGAGCAGGGTCATGCAAGTCACTAGGAGGAGAACCCGGAGGAGCAGTCTGGATTCTTGATTGTGAGGAGCTTGGAGCTACTATTGCAGAAACTTCTTGGGGGGCACTTTGATCAGTTCTTCGTGAGGTACTCTGCACATCACTTGACGAGGAACTTGAGATGGAGGAGTTTGCAACATAGCTTTGTGAGGTGGATTGTGGAGAGTTATTTGATCTCTGTGAGGCTCTGCTTGGAGGAATTTGTAGGGGTCTTTCGGTTTGTTCACTAGACCTAGCACTTAATGAACTTCCACTGTCTGCCAAAGATGTAGGAGTGTCTCTGCTAGAAGATGAGCTAGGATGGGCTGCTGAGCTACCTTCCAAAGAAGATAATCTCCGTAGAGCTGTATAACAGAACCACAAATACTTAGGTACCAGGAAAACAATGTTGAAAACTAATGGATCATGGTTTGATGCTTACCATTATATCGTGAGCTATCACCATGATATGTTCTAGCTGAATGGCTGGTGCTTGGAGATGATCGAAGAGAAAACCTTGGTCTAGGTCTACTGCCTGACAATCGACTTGTTCCGGAGGGCCTGTTTGATTCTTGGGCATCCACAACTCTCACATTTGAAGCTGGCTCTCCAGAAGAGTCATCATCACTCATTTGGACTTGACCGTCGACAGTGATCCTCAGTCTTCTGATGTTTCCCCCACGTCTATGAACAGGGTTTGAATTCACTTCATCTCCTTGTCCTCCAGTTCGATTAGCCGGGCGTCTACTTGGAAGTGAAGAGGAAACATTATTTATCGGGGAAGAAGATGACTCCCGGAAAAGTGGTGAAGTATCACTCAAAAGACGGGTTGTGGTACTGCTAAATCGAGTTATTTCCAAAAGAGCATGGAATCTGTAGAATTCCAACATAAACTGATAAAGCCATTTCTATTAGTAACTGGACAAGAGGGGGACATGATTGATGAAACCTACCTTCCAACTGGTGCTCTGGGACTTGCATTCTGTGCGGCACGAGCTCTTCTTGGATTGACAGATTCAGAATCAGTGCTAGATGAGCTATCTGTGCCGTCCACTTCAGGAGGAGGAATGTTCCGGAGGTTTGGTCGAGAACTACCCCTGGATACTGGTGGTCTGCGTCCAGGAGGCCAACTAAAACAATAAGCAGATTTTATGAGAAAAAAGCTTGAATTGTCTTCAACTGAAAACTAAATAGAAGGTATTTATTAGGTGGAAGGGAGTACTTACTCAGAGTCGGAATCAGCATCACTGTCACTTTCACTATTATAATTTGGGTTAGGAAATCCGCGGAAGCCGCGGGGATTATTGCTAGTGTCAAATTCATCAAACACAACATCGTCACTATCATCCCTCATATACCCTGGCAATTCCTCATTGTCAGTCATGCTATCATAATCATCTCTGTCTTGAATGTCATGAACACAAGTCCACTGTAAAAAACAAACAAACAAAGAACAAAGAAAGTAGCACATTGATTAATATATAGTGCAGTAGCTAATTGATTGAAAATGCAAAATGTTCTTTACAGACCTCAGACAATTCTTCATGGCTAATGTTACGGCTCAGAGCACACCATCCTTGAGGATGAATTTGAAGAGAGGATACAACCTCTGGATCATTATGAGTTGGAAAATCTGTAACAAATTCTATCCTATTCCGTTTCCTTTTCTTGGAGAACAGTGATGTAAATACAGATGCAGCCGGAATCGTAGTCTGACTCTGTTGCATCAACCTATACATGTTCGGCTGCAACAAAAATAACAATTCTGTAAGTGACAGGACCATGAAATGATGATTACAAATTTGAAACAAATAGTGACTTCTGCAAACCTTAAAACCATTCAAATCTTGTGCTAGAGTATGTAGATTAAGATCATGAATTATCATAAGATAACCTCCTGTGGTACAAATTATCATCTTAGTTGCATCTGGTGTAAGCCTAGTTCTCATCAACCCATTGGTGTGGAAAACTCGCTCATAGTTAAATCCATTTTCAGTATAGCTGCAACAAGCATCAAACAAATATTAGTATCAGTAGTGACTGGATAACAGAATCAGCAAACAATCCAATACGAACCTGTTAATGTCCCAAGTATAAATGCTTCCATCAAAGCCAGATGTTACAAGCAAACCATCATTCTGGGAATACTCAATATTCTTCACCCAATTTGAATGTCCATGTAATGTTCGTATACTTGATTTGAGATTACGTGCATCCCATAAGGCAACTGTGCTATCGTCACTGCATGTGACAAAAGTTCTAGAATCCAGGAATCTATAAACCGAAAGGGATTACTTGTTAAATATAACTCACAACAAAGAGCCCACAAGAATTACTGTTCAAACTTGCTCACCTAACACAATTAACACAATCCCTGTGGGCATTTTCCACAGCATGCACCTGTTTTTGAGAAAGCGCATCAAACATTAAGAAACTGCGCTTTTCACAGGCGGCAACTAATAACGATCTGAAAGAAAAAAAAGGTACCATAAACATTTTGGCAAGGTTCAATCAATAAGGACATCAAAATAGATTCCCTACACAGTACAGTAAATAAATCAATGATAAAGTCATAAAATGTCATAAAAGACATGAAGTACAAAGTCACAAAAGAGAGAAAGTGGACATGCAGTGAAGTAAGATGACAATCTGCATGAGATCATTTTCAGAGTATGTATGAACATATAAATCTTACCCATCAGGGGAAAATTCAAGATTGAAAACACCTCCATGATGAACACCCCGAATAGAGCCTCCTTGTTCCCAGCAGGTATGAGGAACCATTGACGAGTACAAACACTTAGAAAATTTGTTTCCATAACCTAGAGGGAGTCTCTGTCCTGTTTCTCGCATTTGTAACCAATTTAAATGCCAAGTCCGATCAACACCTTTCAATGCACTCATTTTCGTATCCATTATGCCCTGTTCGATTTTCAGAAGCTAATCAAAATCCACGTTCTGCACTAAGCTTTGGAAATTTCCGTTCTACTGACGAAATTCATTGACGAAAATACACAAATATGACATGGACGCTTGGTTGTGGGCTCGCAGCTCAGCTGAGCAAGAGCAGGAGCAGATGGGCGCAACTGTCTGCCTCTGTCTTTTCTAGTGGCTGGCGTGATCACGTTGCGTGTGAACAGGAAGAAGATTCCTTCTTTCAAACAATGGCCAAGAGTGTCATTGGCGGACGGACTACAGCTGAGAGGTTGAAATTACATTCTTGGCACAAATATGTTCTCTAGGAAATTTGATGGGGCGTTTGGTAGAACTGCTGGTGTGTTTTGTTTTCGTTAACAACAAAAACAAGTTTGCAACAACAACAGAAAAGGGATTCTGCAGCCAACATTACGAAAGCAAATACGAAAGATTTTAATTTTTTCTCATTACCTATGCTTCCATGAGAAGAATGGAATCAACATAAAGCCAAGCTCGCGTTAAACTTAAATAATCTAGAAATGAGGAACTGGAACGTTCAAATCATGAAATAAAAATTGTTTTATATTTATTCCGCGGTCATTCCCCCCGGATGAACGTTCTGGATTTTAGTCTGGACGGGATGCAAATGCGTCAAATCGTTAAAAATTGTAAAGATAAAAACAACAAAACAGCAAAACATTGCAAATTTATGAGAAACGTCCTTGTTTTATGTGTCTGAGTAGGCCACCAATCAAGCAAGGATGCTGCATGATTGCCTACCCATAAGGCGCTCTTAGCGCGTTCGGTTTTCAATGACGTTCAAAGGGTTCAAAATGAAACAGAGAGCACATTTTAATATTGATGGATTCTTTTATTTTTCTTGCTATGTGTAAAAATTTAGTCTTTATTTCCCAATTGCGAGCTCTGACTCGGTTGGCTTAAGTGGCTTGTTTGAACTCCTGGGTTGAGAGCATTCAAAACGCCGTCACCACCAAAACTAATTTCGGTTTGTGCATCATCAGGTTCTTCAGAGCTCCTAAGTTGTTTCTCTTCGATTTCTTCTGCAACTGCCTCGCCTTCCCCCCTCTCCTCTCCTTCACTTCCCAAGGTAGTACTTGCTGTAAATTATATAAAAATAGTAAACTTAATAAAAATTTAATGAAATCAAAAATTTTTTTTACTCATGGTAGAACACACCTTTACTTTTTTCTAGATCTTGAGTTTCCATCAGGAGCATTAAATCTTCTGGACGTGAAGCAAGAAGTTCCTCAAACTCTTCTCTTTGCAAGTCCAAAAATCGATTGATCTCAAGAACTTGAGTACGGCTCCGTGCAATTTCCCTTCTGTAAATGCAAAAGCAGTAAAATATAATAAAAATCTTAATCCCTGTTTTTCTATATTATTATTATTTTGGAAAATTTTCAAGTTCTAAGGAAAAAAGTTGCTCACTTCTGCAAGTTTTCACAAACTTCTTCATGCCAGGCCTTTATTCTGGTAATAAGAGTATCTTCTCTAGTGTCTATCAACAGCAAGTGCTTTTCATGAGAATTTGCTAGAGCATTGCTTAAACTCTCTTTGTCAACCATTATCTAACAAAGTAGGGAAGTCGCAACAGGTGAGCACCATGTAAAATTTACAAAATAAAAAAGAATTGACCATGTAACGTACCTCACATAATTGGGAAGAAATACTCGCAGCATCATCAGCAATAACAGTTTGGTACCGATGTGATGCCTCTGAGAGTTGTTCATTAAATGATTCTTGTAAAGAACGCATAGCTACAAAATACCCTAATGCCTGTTCAAGCATTACGTTTACCATGTCACTCATATCTCGCTCCAGCATGGAGTTCACTTCCTTCAGGATGATAGTTTCAGGTTAACAGAATAAATTATAATTTTTAAAATTATAAAATTGAGTGAAGAAGAGATCTTAGTACCTCCATTTGTTCAGTAAGAGTCAATTCATTATGCATCAAAGTTTGCCAAGTACTTTGGATAAGTTCATCAAACTCAGAGACACAGTTAGAGATAACTAGGGCGGATTCTGTTATTATTTCAGATCTATTATCATTGTCTTCTTCGGCATCAGTTGATGAAAGGATATTCAACATCTGCGCAACCTGCAATTATTTTTAGAGGTACAGTATATTTTTCTCCCCTTTAGAAAGAGATATTTAACTTACTTGATCTTTTATCCCCTTTTGTTTTTCTATGAAATCTTCAAGAACCCTGGAAAGTAATTTTTATTCGCTTTGTGAATTAGACACCAAAATTCGGGCCAGCATGTAATGTTTTCTTTGATTACCTCTGACTTTGTTCCTGACTTTTCATTTTTGCTGCATTTACACAGTTTGTGAAATCATCATGCTCTTTCTTCCTAAGCAAATGTTGCTCTTGGCCCATTTGGAACAGTTCCTTGCATAGGGCTGTCATCTCTTCACAAAATCTATATGGTAATCAAGGTAATGCTTACACAATATTGAAGTAAACTATTTAAAAAAAAAAAAATTAATGCAGCATACGTTTCATAGAATTCCTTCGTTTCTTCACTGATTTTAACAAGAGCTTGCCCATCTGGATCGTTTTCAAACATAGAATGAAATAGCTGGCTGCCATTCAGCCTCTCCACAAAAGCTACTGAGTGCATCTCAACTTCTGCAGCCTCTTTATCTGCAGCCTGAGTCTCAGCAAGATACTTTTCCTCCTCTCTTTCCAAAGTGGACAGCTCCTCCCTGACAGATAAAGCACACAGTTTTCCAAATGCTTTAGAATAAGCTTCAGGACTATACAACATAATTGGAGAAAAAAATAATGTACTCACCAAAACAATTGCTTTGAGAGTTCTTTATCCTTCTGGCTTATCATTGCATACTCAAAGAAAACAAGACCAGGCAGAAAGGCATACACATAATTTACAAAATTATCTCTCTTGCACATTGGATTACCACCTAAATTTAGAGACTTTAATTTTGAAAAGTGGCGCAGGTATAAGATCTTGGGATGGAAAAATACAACTCGGTCACTGCATCTATAGTAATAAATGATTTTTTGATCTCACAACTGGGCCTACTTACAGTTTTGTCACAATCTTCTATTTGATTCAGCCCAAGGCTGAGTAAAGTTAAGTTCTTCTGGCTTTCCAAATTCTCAAGAAGTGTTATGTGGTTTTGATAAAAGTGTAAAACCTGGTTTTGGTTTGAGTCAAAATTTCATTGTAAGGGTAAAAGAAATGTGATGCAAAAATTTTATCTCATTATAGTTAGGTGAGTATTACCTCTAGCTTTGTGAGATCTTCTAGATTTTCTATCACTCGAATATGGTTGAATGACAAGTCCAGTTCCTTTAAATGAATTAGGGTGTGAAGATTGTCAATACTCTCAATAGCATTATTGTTCAGTTGAAGTTTTGTTAGATTTGGAAGGATCCATAAATGGTCAATCTTCAAAATTCCTGAAATAATACAAAATGCTTTTTCCGCTTAAGTATAGGCATGATTTTTTAAATAAATATATGTAGGTATATTTGTCTGTACTTAGGTACTCCAGACGTAGAGATGTCACATCGGCATGGTCTATGCCCTCCTCTTGGGCAACTCTCCCTGCTTCACCCGTGGGTCCCTGCTCATACACATGTTTGTTTATCATGTCCAAATCTATGACGCCGGGCAAAAGGTGTTCGTGAACCCGGGCTAATTTCGCCACTTTCTCCTCCAACTTTAATCTCTCCAATCTCCGGGTTAGTGACATTCTGGAAATGTGATGACTTCAACTTGAACCTATATCAAGAGCATGCAAGAGCACAAAAATGTAAAACTTCATCAATTCCTAATTTTGAAAAATGAATAATTTCCAATACTATAGGAAAAGAAAAATTACAATCTTAACAAGCTGCAGCCCAAAGCATCGACTATCCCCAAAACTGAAAACTGCTTAAAGCACACATAGCTTCCATTTGTAAACAACCAGGTGCTCCTGCCTTCCCTTCCAAAGTACCAACCTCCAAAAGTGGAAATATCTTCAACCTGAGATTATTGGGCAGACTAAAAGGGTCAATTTTCATCTTCTTGTCATTGGTTTGAGATGGAAGAACAACAGTTAATTACACTGCCAAAGCCGACAAAAGTTTGAGAAAATCAACGCCAGAGCATGTTGGCAGCCATTTGTTTCACTCTGCATACAAAATGGAGCTGAGGGAAAACCTTTTTTGTAGGTTCATTTTCAAGCTGAGGGAAAATCTTTTAGTTGGTTTGACTGTTAGTTGGAGGAAACACCTCAGTATTTGCAATTGTGTAAATGGCATATTTTTTTCCTCACATAATATGGCAGAATGAATAGGAAGTTTAGGAGGAATTTAAGGCAAAAAATATGCACAATCTCTTATCATGAATCATAATAATTTATTAAATAATTGAAATTAATAATATGAAACTTTTAAAACATTCTACAGTCCTGCATTGTTAACAATATGACTTGCTGATGAGAAAATATACCACAAAAAACGGGTACTAAGTGTCAAGCACGCGTGACTTGAATTGAGAGGCAATCTCCCTCATTAATAACTGATTCAGTCTTGTTTGACAACACAAACATCCTGACCCCATTAAGCAGGAAATCAATCCAAATATAATGAGGATGTTTTGTTTTTATTGTTAAGTTTTACACTGCTCCATATGGAAACCTTAATTAAGATTGCCTGTACGTAACCTTACAGGAAGCACTATGAGCAGATATTCAGTACTGGGCAGCCCTTCAAATTCATGTTGCTTGCAGAAGCTTAATGTACCGCAAATCACAAGTACATGAACTGACACAGTGCAAGCAACCAGGAATGCATGTACATCCTCTGGTTATTTTGACTACCCTATAACTGAGAGAACACACACGTGGAATGTGATCTTTAGACATCCCCAGAGAACTTTACTGTAACGTGCATCACTTAGGCATGAAAAATAGGAGAATTCTTGTTTAAATGTTGTAGCTCAATAATTCTTTCATACTCCTAAGTAACTGCTAATTATAAAAGACTGGCTGGATGTATGGATGCTGCAGAAAGTTGCAGGAAAAAGATGAGCTTGACAATGAGCTCTTAACTGGCGTACAGCTAAAACAAAATTGCTCCTGCTCCAGACAATGAGATTCCATTTTCATGCCCAAGTGCAACACTCTTGCACACTGGTATCCCTTCTTTAACGCTTGTAGTGCTTGTGTATTCTCACATAAGTGTAACACACAGACACAAAAGCAATTCATGGATTTAATTTCTTTCACATGATACCTTTCAGACTAACCACACAACAAAAGGTAGCTGTAAATCTAACTGAAGAAAACGAAGAAAAAGATATGCAGGAAAAAAAAATCATATTGGGACTGAGGTTGCACAGAAACACGCAGCACTGTGAGGGTCAGACGCTTTACTCTCTTTGCTATGTACATAAACATTCTGCACTGCATTATATTATTATTTATTAGCAATAATTTAAGAAGTCAAGTGAATCATAATCAGATCCATTCAAATCAAGTGTGGTTTAATCTGGTCTGAGCTTTTCAGTTCAATGTCTTCACAATAACAATGCAAAATAGGAAAACTGCTATGAAATACATATGCTGATACAGCATGTTCATGTCAATTCTGGAGAAAACCTTGCACCAAGAACTTGGCTAACGGAAGTTGGCCACTAAAACATTACTCACTCCGTTGCAAGTCCATAAATAAAAATACAAAATAAGAATAAATACAAGAAGGGTTTCATTGTACTTAACAAAATGAATAAAAGGTCAAGATGCAAGGGTTGCTCAATATGTATAACAATGATTATTACAATCCACAACTAGAGTTCAAATACAGATGAATTTATTTTGATACTTTCTTTTATCTGTTCAGAAGCACTAGACCAAACCATTGTTCCGAAATTAATTCTCTTCTTTTTCTTTAAAATGACCATTCTAATAAAAGAAATAAATGCACATTTTTATATAATCATGTTGAGCTGAGGGGCAAAAAGAATTTTTTGATTCTCAAATTAATTACTAGGTTCAAGTTATAAAACAAATGAGTAACAGAAAATGGAACAAAACACATTTTAAAAGGAAAACATTAATGAGCACCAGGTAAGGGGCAAGAAGGGGTACCAGACAACACACTGGAGGACATGCTGCCCAGGACAACATACAAACATACATCCACTTCCACACACACATTCACACAATTCATTTTCTCACACACGCAGATATCAACACTTCCAAGGTACTTCATATCGAGCGGCACATAACGAGTTCTCACACATACTGTATTTTCACAGTAACATAAACAAACAACATTCATGTATCCTAGTGTTTATGATGCAGATTTTTTTTCCATTTTGGTCTTAGCATGTTTTATTGGGTATGAGAGCAAGTCTTGAAAACATAACAATCTCAGTCGGCGCTGCTATCACAGGACTGCCACCATCCATCTCCTTCACACTCCCACGGATGTGTATAATATGTAGAATATATTTGTAGGAAGAGTATTTCCAACTGTTTCAAATAACAATTTCAAAATGCTTCCTTGTTTTCAAACCAAGTCAAAGGCAAGGCTAACAATATGATAACAATTGGGTAGAACTGGAACGATTTCACAGCGAAAAACAGGGCCCCCGAATCAGAACGGCAACAAGCTGAGCCACACACTACGCTGCCAGAAAATAAACAGACTAGTATGTGGCAAACATAACTGTCTGCCCAGGTTTCGGCACTCCTCTTTCTAATGGTACATCCTACAGGTCAGCGGTTATCACATTTCCACGTACCATGTACACTACTAATGGGAAAAAATTGTAAAAAAAGGGAATTTACATACAATCTATGTATACATTAGGAAGATACACTGCCTTCCTTGACAACTTTTAAGCTGGTACAAAAGACTTTGCTGAAGTAGTAAGAGTTGGAATAGTAAATACACCTTGACAGATCTTGTTGCCACTCCACGTCGAGACACCTGCCTAGCAAATTAAAATCTGTACCAGCGCAATTAACAGTACAAAATGTTAGTTGGACTGCATTCAGGGTTGCCAGGTGGCTAGAGGCAGCTAGTCCCAAAAAACTTGCAAAAACTTAATAACAAAATGCTGTACAAGTTCGTATATACACACTAAACAAAGTACTTCGTCAAAATATAAATCAAGGATTTTAACCTTCTTTCAGTTGGGTTTAAATAACTTACAAGCGCAGTCCACCTACATTGTAATCTGCTATGACAATTAGCAAACTACAATATTCACACCAAAGTGGAACAAATGAGAGGAACCAATCAGACAACCCTTTCACAACAACAAACTTTTTGATACTGTTGCTTGATGATCACTTACATACCATTAGCAGACAAATTCACCAAATATGTTTTTAAAAGGCAAAGTTTAAAAATGTGAATGATATTTGAGGACACTCAGTTGTATTTCCCAGCTCTGCTGCCCGCAGAACAGAACTGAACACAATATGCACAGAATCTGGCTAGTGCATAAACAGAGAGCAGTCTACTCATATTGTCTAACTAGTTTTTTTGGCGTTATAAAACGTGATTCACTGTCTTGCTGCACACAACTGGCAGTCACTATGATGAGCTTGAGGCATTCATTCCACTAAACATTCCTGTACTGAATGAAGGCTGCTGTTGAATGTGTTGAATTTGTTGTTGTTGCTGCTGTTGCTGTTGTTGCTGCTGCTGCTGCTGTTGCTGCTGATGATGCTGCTGCTGCACAGCCTGGATTTGTTGGCTGCTTGTCTGGCGCCCACTTTTGGGCACTGGAGGCTGAAGGTACTCGTGCCGCGCCAGCGCAAACACGTCAATGCGGTCCTCTTTCCGATATGCCAAGCAACTCCGGATGAAGCTCTGGAACAATATAAACATCGTTCATTCTTCTATTTCAAGCTACAAATAATTGGATGGTCAAGTGAGACAACTGCAGTACAAACCTTAGCTTCAGGGCTGACTGTGGGTTTGTTGGCAAATTGAACTTCTGTTGCTTTGAGGATCGTATTTTCCTCCAAAATAGTTGCTTGTGATTGGTTGTGTCCAAAGGGCTGAAAATAGAGAGAAAAGGAAATGTGAATTACACCAAGAAAGGTTCAAAGAAGACTAAGGTAAAGAAGGTTCATCACCATACCTTTTTGCCATATAAACATTGATAAAATATTACACCAACACTCCACACATCAACTTTGGAAGATATTTTTGGTGGAGTTTTTCCAACAACAAAACATTCTGGAGGTAAATACCTGTAAGGTGGTAACACAATTAGTACTGTTAATCATTTGTGTTGATACTGAGGTAACATTTACACAGCTCACAACAGTAATTCAACTCTCTTAGTATTCTGCACTCAGTACATATAATAATTTATGAAAAAAATAAACACGCACCAGTATGTTCCTGCACCTTGAGAAGTCAGGTCCATACCATGATCAGGATTGTAATTCTCCTCATCCATAACTTTACTTAACCCAAAGTCTGTGATCTTAATTTCCCCACAAACATTTCCTTCAGTCAACAGAATATTCCCTGGAAGGTAAGAGTGTCATGGTTAGATCTTTGAGTGCACACACAGGACAGAGGGAATTAATCATGAAGACTTGACTTACCTGGCTTGAGATCATAATGGATCACAGGCGGTTTGATCTCATTGAGGTACTTTAAGGCAGAAACAACTTGCATCACAATAGATCTCGCCTCCCGCTCTGCTATTGTTTTGTGCTGGAAATTAAAATGTTTGTTAGAATACTTCACAAAAAGGGAAGAGAGGGAGATTAAAGTATAATTTCCTTCAGTAAAACATACCTGTTTTAAATAAAAGTCTAAATCATGACCATCACAATACTCCAGAACTGTACAAAATGAGTTAGCATCTATTTCAAACACATCGTACAGCTTCACAACCCGTGGATGATCCAACAGCTTGTGAATGTTGTATTCTCTAAGTGCATGTCTGTGGAGTTACAAAAATATAAGAAAGAATAATCAATATGCAAAACCACTAATGCACAAAGGATAAAACCTATGCACTTACTTTATGTAATTTGCTTTCTTATCCTCTTTCCAGTCTTTATTCAATTGGTGAACTTTGCACGCAACATACCTCTGCTCTTTAAGGTCAAATGCCTAAAAATTAAGACATATAGTTAGAACCACAAAGAAACACAAGGGTCAGCAACAAACAAGTGCTATTTCCTTGCCAGTCAATTTACCTTGTGCACCTCACTAAAACCTCCTTTGCCAAGTAACATAAGGAGGAGATACCGTTCATTAAGAACTGGATGGTTGTTGAAGCGGCTTTGATCTTCATTGTGAATTCGCTTTAATTCACGTATATGAAGATTTCGCTCCCTCTCCAGCTTCTCCATTTCTAACTGTAAATCGGCATCTTCCTTCTTAAGAGCAGACTGACGCAACTTAAGAATTTCATCTGCCTCATAGTACTCCTGCCATGAGAAGCCAGGTAGGGCATCAGGTTTCAGGAACGTAGCAGTATCAGTGCCATTGTGAAGGGTTGTGCTTCCAGTATTAGTGGTTGCAGGATTCACAGTGCTACCACTGGCTTGCACTGGTGGTGTTGGTAAACCAGTAGCAGCAGTTGCAGTCACAGTTGTAGTCCCCGGAGGTTGCTGAGCTGCAGCCTGTTGGCTTGTACTATTATTACGTTTACCCCGCCCTCCAGTTTCATTGTTTGGCCTTTTCTTAGTCAACATTTTCTTTTGTTTGTCTATTTCTTCTCTCTCCGAGGAAATTTCTTCCTGCCGCCTAAAGTAAATGAAAAAACATGTTTCTAATTAAGTAACTCAGTCTCATAAATTCATCCTATACTTAAGATTACTTTAACCAAGACAACTCACCTTGCTAATTCTTGAAAAGCATAGCCATCTGTCCAGTTTTCCTGGAAGGTGGCACCTACTCTTTGAGTAACAAACTGTCCAAGCCTCAATCGGTTCTGCATGCATCGTTGACGTGCTTCTTTCTTTTCTATGTTTGACTTCTCTTTTAATAATTTCGTCACAACATCGATGCATTTTGCCACATGAGCTTTATGCTGGTCCATTTGTTTTTGTTGTGCAGTAATCTGATGTCTTAATTCATCTGACGTCTAGAATAAGAACCAAGCATTAAAGCCACATCTCAACAATTGGCTTCAAGGCATTTGTTTATTTTATACTTACTCTATTTAATTCATCTATTTTAGTATTTCTTAATTCCAAATCAGTTGAAGCCTTTGTCTCAAACTCTTGTATCCTTTGGCAAGTCAGCTCAGTCTGAAACATCACAATTGGAACACATTGTTTGGTGCACTCATTACATCTTAAGGAGCAGCAGTCGGAAGACTCTTAAAGAAAGCTTCATAATTTGGACACTTCAAATTGATTTTGTAGCATTAATACCTAACAAAATGACAGGCAAGCATTGAAAACAAACCATTGTTTAAAATAGGTTAGGTGTAGATAAATATTGAGAATTAATGGAAAGTACTGTTAACTGAGGTGAATGGTCCAAAGATTAATCCATCAGGCCTCAATTAACAAGGACACAAGTCTATATTTTAATTGTCTTGTGTCCCAGCCTCACATGATAACTTCAAAAATTAAAACATGCAGGTACATTCCAATATTTATTCATTTAATATTTTATTGTTATTCATATAATATCTGTACTGCACATTATATACTATTTTATCCTTCCCCTCACTGCAACATACCTGAACTTGTTTGCTGACCATGTTGTTTGAGTGCGGCCTGGGAGGGTGCATGAGACTAGCGTAATCAGGGCCTCCTACAACAGGGGGTACTGCTTGCTGCGGGGAAGGAGGAAACTGAAAATTAATAAATTAACAGTATTCAAGTGCCCTAATAAATAAAACAAACAAAAAACTTTCATTCAAGCTTCTGTTGTAACAAGCAACTTACCATGGGGTAGCCTTGTTGAGGGGAAGGGCTTTTGGCACCACCATGACGAATGGGACTGGTTCCAGGGGGGTGGGTTGTGTGCATTGGGTGCTTGGCAAAGTACTCATTGATTTTCTTTGTCTCAGGGACGGCTCTATTGGCTCCTTTTGACGATAAAGCAGTGCCACCTGGTCCACCAGCAGGTCCCCCAATGGATCCCGGTCCCCCAATGTCGTCAGTTTTTCTCTTCCTTTTACGGTCAGATGGTGTACGAGCTTGATGTTTTTCAGGAGTATTTCCATCAGGCTCTTTGTCACTATGAGATGACCCTGAAAATTGATGATCCGGAAGATTAGACCAGTTATTATTATTACATGCAGTACTAAATTTTAAAATGTAAACACTATTTTACCTGTACTCATATTTGAGTCCTGACTATGTACAGACTGGCCTGAGTTCACTGTGGATTGTGGTGCCATCTGAATTTGTGAACCAGCTGACATCTGAAAACAAAAAGAGACACTGATTAGAGAACAGAACAAAGCAAATTTCGGCAGGACTGTGAACAGATAACAACAACACTAGCTCCACTACATGAAAATAAAAATAACTAAACACACACTTAAATTCCCTAACCTCACGAGAAATAAGAAAACGCCGAGTGTTCAACATAATCAGTGAGTCCAGACAATTAGTGGAATGTGTTTACTGTCCACAAAAGGCACCATTTCTGGGAAACATATTCATTCCGGCCCTCAAAATTTTCTGCCCGTGAAAAGCACACATTTCCGACCACTTGTTCAGTGACCATGCCAACCCGAACCCCCGTCGAGCAACGGGAAAAGGCTGCAATCCCGTACTGACCTGCTGGTACAGCCTACATTGTGGAAAGTGAGGTTAGGTCGCCTCCTCAGTCGCCGTAAATACTCAAGAAAGGGCGAACTAAGGGCACATTTACAAGTCCACTGCACATCCCAATCTGCCCGGCCGTTCCAAGAGGACCTCACAGGGGCAGAAAGCATCGGGGAGGGCAAAGTGGAGGGCCAAACATACTAGGCCTGGCAAATTTAAGCTAGGTTGCGGCTGGGGCTCGGGACTGGGAGGGCAGGTGGGTTGCGGCGAAGGCCCAGAAGGCCGCGGGGCAGGCCGAAAGCCGAAACGGCACGGCGGCCGTACTGCCGACACCGGCAAGTCCAGCCATCGCGTGCCCCGGCGAGCCCCGGCACATTTTGGTCACTATTTCAATTTCATAAAGAGAGTTCGGCGCGGTTCGATGTTGGCTACTTGACGACGGCAGACGGGACAGACAGACGGGCGGACAGACTGTACTGTCGGTAGAAAAAAGATGGTGGACAGAGACGGAACAATCAGAGGGGGAGGGGAGCGAGGCATGGGGAAGAGGGAATACAGGAGGCCGGGACTGAGAGAGGAAGGGAGGCGGTTAAAGGGAAGGAGGAGAGGGGCGAGGGGGCAGGGGAGAGCAAAGAGGGGACTATCAAAACTTTCCCTTCCTGGCAGTGCAGTGATGGGAGTGCACTTACACGAATCTGCACCAATGGGCTAATATCGTAATCAGAGCGAGAATAAAATACAGCGAGCAAAACAAAGTGGTCCTTGACACAGGAGCATCATTCAAAATCGCAGAGGGGTCGGTGTAGAGCTAGGGGAATGAACTCATAGAAGCACCCGCCATCTCGCCCGCCATTCACGGTTGAGGTAGGTTAGGTGAGGAGGGTTGAGGTAGGTCAACGAGGCCCATCAAACCACCGAACACCCTTTCAGAAAATTAAGCCAGGTCATGGTCACGAGGTAGACCATATTAAGGCGGGTCAAGATTCCGTGGACCGGGTGTTAAGCCATCATGAAAACCGCTTCAAGAAATTTAAGACCGATTAAGATCACTGGAGAGGAGTAGTATAGAGGAGCACATTCCAAGATCAGCTGAGAATCCACTTGTCTTTTGTTGGTCTCAGGGCACACCCCATGGTATAGCCTAAGATCAGATGATAAGAATCAAAGGCAGCACCGCGACCTGGGTCAAGAGTGTCGCCGAACTCGGCCAGCCACTCGCCACGGGTCCCGATTTGAATCTTCGCGCCGGGCATGCAGCACGCTCATTGGCTGAGTGGGCCAGCCGCGGCGCGCGTTCGCCAATCAGGGGAGCCTAGGGCCGTGGCAGAGTCTGGCCTGCCGGGCAGACAACAAGAAGCGAGGTTGCCGCTGCCATCTTCCCGAGCTGAGCTGCAAAGCCGCGTGCCGTGGCACGCTGTGGCACGCCGTGCCGTGCCGTGCCGCTGCGGTTCGGCTAAAGCAAAAGCAGCCGCACGGGACGGCGCGGCGACGGCCTGCCTACGGCCCGGCTGGCCCCGGCAAGCAAGCAAGCATGCCCGGCATGGATCGGGGCGGCGGATGGCGGATCACTCGCGGAGCTCGCAGAGATGCGGCACGATACGGCGCGGCCACCAGGCTGCGCCAGGCTGCCACTCTGCCACCAGTCCGACGCGCTTCCGGCCCACCGTCCGCCCGAGCACGGGCCGAGTCCGGCAGGGATCCGGCAGGGATCCGGCCGGCAGGCAGGCAGGCAGCCGCACACTTTGATCGGGCCCGATTAGCCAGTTGCAAGGCCAGTGGCGTAGCATGGGCGTAGGTGTGTAGTGGCGCGGCCGGGCTGCCTCGAGGCCTCCCAACCCTCTCCAGCAGGACACCGGCAGCGGCGAGGACGCGCTCAAGGGCCGAAGGGCGCCGAAGGGCCTCAGACCGGCGACTACGCCACCTCGTCCCGACGACAGAGGGGGGACTGTACGCGACACAAATAGGCCAACCCCCTTTTGTTTTCCTTATCCCCCAGGTGTTTTTAAAAAAACGGAGGGGGGGGGGCTCGGCCAAGTGGACGGCGCAAGTCAATAGCATCGGCAAAAAGCGGCCTTTCCTTTCCCTCTCAGTGGCGGCGTAGCTTACGGTGTAGCGCACCACGGGACCACGGTCTAGACCACGGCACTGTGGCGCGGCTAGGCGCGGCCAAGAGCGCGTCTTCAGGGCCACCATGCAAATGGCACCTTACACCTCAAATCGATGACGAAGACGTCGTCATCGACACCCGGCAAAAACTTGCATCCCGCAGCGTGAGCAAGTTTTTCCCGGCACGGCGAGCAGCGTGCCTGCTACAGTGTGTGTGTGTGCGGAGGATGACTCGAATCGAAAACGTAAGGACCTTCACAAGCGCGGCAGGGGGAGGGGAGGGGAGGGGGTGCTTTAAATCGATAGTGTGGTGGAAGAAGGAATCAGGACGCGAGACCCGGGACGGGAAGGGGGGGGGGGAGGAGAGCGGCGGAACAGCCGTGTTGGGTGATCCAGGCAATGGACTTGAAGTCCACAACAGACTGGCCGGGCTGCTCCGTGAGGCTCCGCGCTCCGCGGCGCGCCCCGCTGCCCGGCCACCGCGACCAATGCCGAGGCCCATGGGCGAAGCCGGCGAAGCCCGGCACTTGGCACACAATTCATTAGTACCGCCTGCACGGATCTGCACGGTTCCGAGGGGGACAAAAATGCCGCTGCTGCTGCGCGCATCCCTCATTTGAATCACAAGCGCATCGATCGATAAAACAGGGACAACACTGGTGTCGGGCCAACACTGTGACCACCTTTGACTTTTAGAAGCAGTCGCGACGCCCAAAGACCGTGGCCGAAAGACGGCCTCCGTACCCTGCGAAAAAACGCGACCCGCGCCGCAAACCGGCCAGACAAATCTGTAGCACCGCGGAGACAATCTTGATCGAATGGGACCATCTCGAGCGTCTCGAGCACACCAAGCTCGACCGAGCTCTTGGCGGTTCTGATATCACAGTGGCGTTGCCGCGTTGCCAAGGCGCGCAGGAGGCGTAGCTCCGCGTAGCTCGGCCACAGGCGCGGCGGCAGGCGGCGGCAGGCGGCACGGCCCCCCGGTGGGGTGGCTTGCTCGGGGGCGAGCTGGCGAGCCCAGGGGGCGTCGGAGGCGGCACGGCATTGGCGGGGGCCGCGGGGGCCGCCAGCCACTGCAGCTACCCTTGCTAGTGTAAGTGTCGCCACCCCTCCCCGCGGCCCGCTCTCCTGGCCGTCTAGTGTAGCTAGGCCCCATCCCCCCCTCCCTCTTCTCCCCCGCGCGGCCAGCCAGCGAGTGCCACGGCGGGGCCGCGTCCGAAGCGAGCCGCCGCGCTGCACGCTCCGCACGCTCAGCCGGCTGGTTCCGAACGGCGTTTCGTCGCCCTGTCCTTCTCCCACCTCCACGGCACGCCGGGCACGTCCGAGAGAGACAGAGCGACACGGCTTCGGAATCGGCATGCAGCACGCGGCCACGCGGCGCGGTGGAGACGGAACGGAGCGCGTTGACAAAGAGGTTCGCGGACGCGGCCGCCGTCGACGACACACGGGCAGGGTGGGGCAGGGCACACGGCAGGGCAAAGCTGCCACGTCGAAACAGACCTAGCAGGCAGGCAGGCCAGGCAGGCAGGCAGACCGCTACGCTATGCATGTCGTGATAATGAGAAATGCGTCGCTCGGCACGGCAACCCTGCAAACAGCCGCAACTTCGGACACTCGACGGGGAACGGGAAAAAGGTGCGGCGTCGCTTCTAATCCAGTTACGGCAGCGACGGCCACCTCAAGGCCCGGCTGGCCTAGAAGTTGCGGTGCTGCACCAGTGCACCAATACGTGCAGGGACCCTCGCAAGGCACAGTGGGTGCAAGGTGAGGCAACTCTGTCAGCGCCACTGTAGGGATAAGCCGCATGGGGCGCTTCTCGGGGGTGCGAGAGAGACGGAGCGACCGAACGATTCAGTGAAACTTGCAAATGACGCAGCCCAGGACGACGGGGCACCCTGGAGGAGGCGCTCCCCCCACTCCAGAGGAAACACGAGTGGTCAAGTGGAGGCACTGGTGCAGTGTGGGGACCAGTGGGGACCATTGCAGTGAGGGGCACTCCGTGGCACTCCACACTAAGGACCACGGCCGGCGCATTCCTCGAAAAACCCTGTGCGGCTCCGGGCAGTGTATACACTATCAGAGAAAGCAGCTGAATGTGTTGTTGCCGTGGGAGGGGGCATCGGAGGATGAGAAGGGGCCCCCCCGGCAGGAGTGCAAGGAGGGCGACAGGAGAAAGACAGAAAGACGAAGCGACAGAAACAACACACAGCCAAGGTCGTGAGCCTCCCCGCGCGGACGCGCAGCGCGCAGCTCCCGGCTGGCTCCATGCACACGGCGCGGCGGCGGTCTACGGCGGCCGCACGAGAAGCACGGGGATGTCGGGCTGGGGGACTTTCCACGCGCCGCCCGCCCGGTCCGCACCCCGAGCAGGCGGGCTCCCCGTCGACGACGACCCCAAACAACACGCCCGCCACCACCTGTCGATGCACCACTGGGATACCCGCAAAGGCCGCAAGCCACAGGGCTCGCCGTCGGTGCGAGTACGCCGTAGTGCCCGAGCGAACAGCCACGCCACGCCGCCACGCCCCAGGACATCCGAGCCAGG